GCTGCTTCCAGACACACATCTAGTCTACTTAGAGGGACATCGCAAGGTAACTTACTTTATACCTCACAACCAATAGTGGCATCGACAGATGCCTTGATGCTCAAATAAGACGCCCTTACAATAGAAAATGGGTTATTTGTGGTGTGAAAAGTGGTGATTTGTAGTTTCCTTCACACTGGGAACCACGCATAAGCTGTACTGATTTTCGCTTACCCCACAAATCTGATTGTTCAGGTTTATTGGATGAATGGCAACCTACCCTTTTCATTGGTTCACAAATCAGACACCGTCTGTCCGCCACGACGGCACGCAGCGACTTACTGGTTACCAATCGCTCGTGTCCACCTCAAGATCACAAGAAACAGTCACAACCGAGGCGATGTGAATCGCAATGTTACCAATGGGAAGCTCCAAGCTCATCAAATGTGAATGACCTTCAATAAAGCAAATTTGATTGGCTATCTGTCGAATTTCCCATCTGTTTGCAAACAAATTCCACTAGTGATTCCCAATTGTAGACTTAGCTTGAGAGACACCGACTGGACTAAATTTTGTGGGCACATCTGTGTCGACACAAAGCAACTTAACCGGAAAATTCAACCAATCAGGGTCTGAAAATGGTGATTTTTAGTGTTTCACCAATTCACCACTCGCCTTCCTCACACAAACGACGCAGTACGTGTTCCATCGTGCGCCGAACGTCATTTCGAGAGACCAGCGTCACACACAGCTCTCCTAGAAGGAACTATGGAACCAGGAGGCAACGTACAAGATGGCTTGGTGTGGTGCACTCACGCACTCTCGCCAAATTCCGCAGAATGAACTTGTGTTGAAGTCGCCACGCCAAGCACGCGCAGGGGCCACACAAACAACTTCAGCGCGCGTGCCAAATCAACTCGACAGCGGTGGCGTGATTTGCTGGTCTTAACGTTTGCACTTAGCAGCGTTGTACACAGGTGAATCCGGCCTTGCAGAAGGCACTAACCGAACCGCGTTCATTTGATTGGCTGGAACTCTTCCACGTGTAACCATCCAGAATCGTTCTCGACGCAGGAGCAAAAGATGCGATACTGAGTTGTCATGGATCGAGGCCAACTTGACAGATGGATTGGCGGTTGATTGGCTGATTTACGTGTCATCACGAGGTGGCCTATTAACTGGACACCCTACAGCAGTTCAGCTACAACAGATGATCCTGCGGCAGTTCCCTCCGCAAGGCGCACGGACACTGGAAGACGAGCATAACCAGACAACAAGATCGGAGTACAAACCTCGTCTCCGGAGGCGACAGCCACCCGGGAGTACTTGGCGTTGTAGTCCGCGGTGGCAGCGGAGATGGACTTGGCGCCCTCTCCTCCGGAGCGCGACGTCTGCCGACGAATGGCGCAGACGACGACGACGAAGAACACCAAGAGGAGGAGGGACAGCGCCAAGACGACGACGAACACCGTCAGGAGGAGGTTGTAGCCCTTGGCGGGCTTTGCGTACGCGTTGTCGTAGAGCATGGCCAGGGCGTCTGGACCGGCGACTGCTTTCTGTAATGTTTTTTTGTGAAAAAAAAAACGCAAATTTAAGGCACCCAGCGATGAGAAATGAAGCTCCAGCGAGGCATCAACATTAGTGACAACGCCCAGTTCAAAAAAGAACGCTTTCTTTGTTCGGCTGCACGTGTAAACAGTGTGAGGATGTCCTTCTAGGTGCGCTGACGGCGATGCGCTTGTAGAGCGAATCCACCGTCACACAACTGATAATCAAGCCTACTGATTCCTCCAAGTTCACACAACCGCTTGATTCCGCGATCATCACAATTCCGACAATTTTCTGCAAGCAACTGAACCATGTGTGATTTCTGATAACCATGATTACCATCAGTAAAGTTTTAACCAATCAGATTTTTGTTTACGCTGAAATAACCAATCACCTGACAATGTGGGATTTCACTTCCGAAGCGTGTGTGAGGGGGTCATGGATTGTCTTCGTTGAACAAAACTCCTTTGCTAATTCTAACCGTTTGACCAATTAGCCGCCGATACCAGAAACTATCGAAAATCGATCACATCACATTGACTGATTGATCAACGGTTAATGGAAATCAAAGCGCAAAGCTCACCTCTTCAAACCACACAACCGGCAGGAAGACGGGCTCTGTCCAGTTCTTGAATTGGTCGCTGAAATAAAACAAAGAGAGGCATTTATTGAAGCCAAAATTTGCTAAACAAAATTCCAGCAATGTTTAAATGGTTATTTGCCAAATGCGAGCTAACAGCGCGACCATGCGTTAAGCCAAATACGCTTGTTTGCGTTCCTACGCTGTCCGACTTTCCGAAAACGAACAATAGCCAAGTGTTCCGTTGTCATTGGCACTGTTCAAAACAGCCTGTCACACAATTTTGCCATTTGTCCACGCAAACAGTATTGCAAGCTCTGAAGCCCCATATTCTCTGTTGGTTAGGTGGGTATTGACGTCTGCGTGCGTAGCGAGTCTGGAGGCAGTTTGAACTTCAGTCGAACGCCCCCAATCACCAGAATTAGACCTCGTGTAAGGTCAGAATCGGATGATGTCGGCAGTGCTAGCGAGTACCAATGCAGGGCACACGTACCAAGGTCGTGGATTTTGGCTGCGCGATACTGTGAATAAACACCATGCAAAAAATAACAACCACGTGATTTAAGGTTGTGGCGATAATGTAATCAAACAGCATTCCACCCTGATGCGTTTACCAACTCTGTAGCGGGTCAGAGGTCCTACAACACCCACGGACACATTTCGTCCCCACCTTCAGCCCTGTCACTTAGACATTTGTACTTTTACGAGGTCATTCCAATTTCTCCGACGGGCGTCTGCGACCTACACGACTTTGTAGACACAACAAAACACACTCGGGGAAAATGCCGAGGTTCAGTGGAGCACGAAGGAGGAGGACTTACGACATCGACTTGGCTGGTCGGACGTAGAACGAGATTTGGAGGCGTTTGTAGGCTTCGAGGACCAATCCAAGTTTCTGAAAGCGAACACACAAAGTTTGAGGAACGCCTTGTTGAGGCATGACGCATCCGGTCGTGCATAGAATCGGTGCTGACGTCGACAAACAATCACATGATCCCTCGGTGAATAATGATAATAATAGAGGTGATGGACATTTAATCAAACCAGCCGATGAGAAGCCTGCAATTCGACATAGGTACTGATTGGTTAGACGATGATTACGACGATGAGACAGTAGTAGCCGGGTTTGTACCGTAACCGTATCCTTATTTGTGCCGGGAGGTAGCTAAACAGTTTCTGGCAACTGTAACACACGGAGAACAGTAAATGGTGTGTTGGCAACTACCCCGATGAAATGATAGCATGAAAACGGTTACAATTTTGAACTAGCACGACAACCACTGGCCCGGACATTTGTAGAAATAAAATGACCAGCAGCACACACCTCTGCCCGTATGTTGTCACGAGTAAACAGTCACACGTCATTGTCGAGCTAAATATCGTGGCAAACGAGCGATTTTCAACAGAAAAACACCTTCAGGAGTACCAACAATCTGCAAATGCTTAGGCAATGAAGCTATCTTATTATAAAGATTCCCAATTAAGCAGTTATTCCCGTGGAACTCTACAATGGCGCTTCCAACAACTGCGAACACTCACGGGCTCGACGTAAACCTTCGTGGAGGAGTTCTCGACATTGGGCTCGGGCAGTCCCTCAATCCCCTCCCGGAGTTTGGGGTCAGCGCCGAAGAAGTACGGCTGCGAGCTGTAGACAGGCGGTCTGGAGTCGCCCTGTCGACGGCACGACGAGAGGTCGAAGAGGCCAGCCGGCGGACACTTTGGTCCGGGCGTCTTGGGCGGACAGAAGCCGAGGTTGTCTGGGTTCACCGACGCCGGCTGCGCTGTCTCCGGGGTGCCGCCGAGCGAGAAGACCTTTGGAAAGTGTGGACGATCAAAGTTACCACCAACACAACCAACCAATTGTCACAGCTTCAAAGAGCAACAGGTCATCTGCCTCTTTACAAACGGATTTCGATAAATTCCATGTAATTTGAAGCATAATTTACTCGTAGCAGCCACAACTTCGAATTAGTCGTTTCAGAGAATCCGTTAATAGTTTTTTTACGTGTCAGATGACCTTCTAGTCACCTAAAAACAATATTTTTGTCCTCAAACACGACAAGATCGGGCGAAATCGATTTGCAGCGTGTCAAGGAATCGACCAACGAATTGAGCTCCACATATAAAATAACCTTGATTGAGCGGTTTCAGTACCTTGACCTTGTCCGAATTGGTGAGCTTCCCGTATCCATCGACCTTCAATTCGAATGAGCGACAGAGGTCGTTGGCGAATATGAAGAGTGTCGAGTTGGCGTTGAGGTTGGGAGCGAAATGAGAGCCATCTAACAATGCGAATACAACACAAGTAGCGCGGTTAGAGTGTTGACAATATCTGGGCGCCATAATTTACACGAATACAAGCAAGTTGAGCAAGCAATTACCTGTTCCCTTGATTTGATTGGCCTTCTCGGATGACCAGACATCTACGGTGCTACAATTGGGGGAGGAAGGTGGAGATAAGCAACGCCTTGTAGAGTACCGATCGCCTGGCCACAGAAGGAATGCTTACTTTTTACCCTCGTAGGAGAGAATATTCCCGAGTTGAGATATGTCGTTCACTCCGGTGTCAATGACGAAGGGTCCCATGTCGGTGGCGTTTTTCTGAGCGAGAAAGTGGCAGTTTGAGTGACCATAAAAAATGGTTTGACTAGTGTCGCCACGGTGACGATTAGCGGTCGCGTGAACACGCAACATCGAGGTGAAGAGGTTACTTCAGATTGATCAGAAACACTCATGACTGTAAAATTGACATCCGGACAAATTTTGAGAGATTTTTTCTTAGAGTTTTAAATTATATCTACAATGGCACATTCGTCACCGGATTTCAACAAGGTAAAATGCGTCTATAAGGCACGGAAATCAACATTGGTGGTCATGGTACAAACGACTTAGAGGTGGTAATTTCGATGTCGGTGACCAGCCGCGTTCCAGACAGCCTCACAAGATCGAAGATGCAGAATCGCAAGCTTTACTTAATGAAGACTCAACGCAAGTAGAAGCAAGCTCAGTTAGGCTTCACCCAAACAGCTATTTCCAAGCGTTTGCACCACCAAATGGTAAAAATTCAATAACTTGGAAGTTGGGTCCCCTCAAATATGTTGGCCGAACACGCATGCCCACTGACAACAGAGAGTAAATGGACTTCCTGTGGAAAATTTTGACGGGCGACGAAAAGTATACATCCTACAACAAAGTCGATCGACGCCGAAGCAGGATATTCGCTTGAAGAAGCTTCTCCTGTGTACCTGGTGGGAAATTACGGACTCCTGGAAACTGGCCATCAGACGGTGACTGCTGAACGCTACAGCCAACAATTGAACAAACTCAATGATCAAATTGATCACGAAAGACCATTTACTGGGCCAGGAAGCAGGCAAGTCAGATTGCGACTGCTGCATGACAACGCTCGACCACCTCACGTTGGTCGCATTGCGGCTCAGAAGATTCCCTTGAAATTGGGATGGGAAGTTCTCCCATACGTGGCATATTCACCATACTCGGCCCCATCCAACCACCATTTGCTGCAGTCAATGGAGTGGCAGTTCGCCTTAGTGGACAAACACTTCTAGATGGTGGACGACGTGCGTCACCTCGTCGTCAATGCCTTCGTTGCCTCGAAGCCTGCAAGTTCCTTTAGCGACAGCATCCATACCTTACCTGAGAGATGGCGCAAGGCCACAGAAAACGATGGACAATATTCCCGCGATTACGTTCGTTGTTCGCCAGTTTTATGAACTAAGTAAATTTGCCGAAAAGTCTGAAGAATTTAAGGCATACACCTCATGGAGGCCCAGCAGCAGGAGGCAACTTACGCCCATCATAAGGCCGACTTCGGCGAAAGGGCACTTTTCCGGGGTCAGCGTGTTGCAGGCCTCGGTGATGGCGTCCACGTAGCCCCAGAGGTACCTGTGAACCGTCGTCTCCACGAAGAGTTTCGGCTCGATGAAGAACGTCAGTAAGGTGTATTCGCCTTCGCTCGGTCCAAGTCCTGCCTCCATGTTTGATGCCATTGTCTAAGACAAATTAAGGGAGGTGAAATTAACAAGGAGTGGAAGGTATCGGCGGTTTAAGGAAACAACGGCAAAGGAGAACTCACGACGAACGGTGTGCTGATGCCCAGCACCATGTCTTTGTCAGGATCTCCGACTGAAAGTTCTCGATCAAAGTGGAACGTGAGGCGTTGGTAAAAAGAGACTTGAGATTGATCGCCGTTTGGCCAGGAGATGTTTGTCTTCTCTCTCTTCTCCCTACAAGTTACAAACACACACAAAAAAAAGATTCTTTTACCAGTGGTATCTAGGATGTTTGCTCCATCGAAGGATCAAATGAATTTCATAACAGTGACAGAACAGAAGAAGCGATTGTGCGGTGAGCAAAAGAAGTTGTAGAAGGTGGTTTGCCTGTTTCCGAAGTGGTGATGTCAGCTTAAAAAACGGGCCAAATAAAATGGCTTGATTCTGAGGCTGCCGTCCCAGATATCTCCACCACAACCTCGGGGGAACATGTAGAACAGAATTAAGCGTTGTGTGCCAACTGAAGAGGATCCGATAGCTTCTAGTGGTTGAAAAATGCGTTTCAAATTAACCGACTACAGAGAATCTGCAAGAGTGTGTTGCTTGCTGTGGACCATTGCCTTCGTGACGTCTTCAAACCCATCTTTTAGACAGGTTTGTTTCTGTTGAGAAGGAAGACTAGTCCTTCAGCCAACAGAGGGACTTCATCCAAATGAAACGAGCTTGCTGAGCATATGGCGAGATATCGGAGGAGCAGCCTACTACGAAGTGCTAGCTGATCATCCAGCAATCACTTCCACTATCTCCTGTGGTCAACTTTGAGGCCTGAAAGCAGTTTGAGTCAAAAGCTGTCGTCTTTCACTACGGTCTCCTGGTAGAGACTAATTGGAAATCATTGCCTCTCTCCCCGTGCCCTCTTTACCTTCTACCTTCTCATTACCATCTGTTTCTAGGGCAACAGAATCGTAGAAATCTCGTAAGCGGAAGATCACCCTGTGTGTATCGTAAAAACTCTTACCTGTAGACGTAGGGCCCGATCTGTTGAATACGCGGTTTCTCGCCCCGAAGTATGTCATGGTGGTTGGTTATGTTGAAGAGGTAGATGGAGAAGAAGATAGGGGTATCAGGGGCCACCCAGTTCTCGTAAACCGATGACGATGGAGTTATGGCAACGCTCTACAAGACACCAACCGCAAATGATGCTATGTAGGCATCGTAAATGCAGACAAGATCTGGCGAATTTAGACGCATCGCGAAAGCGGTTTCTACGCTACACTAATCTACCCGAACGCACGTCTGTGTGGCATAAGTTCACACGTGATAGGGCGACGTTTCGTCGACGTGGGGACTTCATCAGAGAGCTCACGACGACTGGGGAATAAGCAAAGGCGACAACGAGTGAAATCAGTGACGCACCTTGGCAATCATGTTGTCCACAAGAATGTCGAAGACGCCAATGAGAATGAGGAGAACAAGCGCGATCAGGAGTACGATCGTGGTTAGCACGCCGGTCACAATGGCCGATCGCTTGGAAAATCTGCAGAATGACATTTTGTCGTGTTGATGCTGCAATAGAAACAATAATTAGCCACGATCTCGTACGTCAATTGGATGGAAACGTGAACCAATGGACACTCCTTTTGACAACCACGATTCAGTGAATTTCAGGTCATTTTCAGTGCGATTCCATTGGTTGATGAAGGCAAATAGCTGTTGACCTTCAGACAAACTGGAGACAACTCAAAGTACACAATCTTTTGTGACACCAAAAAGTTGACAGCAAGTTTGTTCTTTGATGTAATTCGCTTACGTAACGTATGCGACTTTTCGTGACGTCAATGTGTCAAGTTCATAGCGTTCGGAATGCAGATGCAATGTGCCAAGCGGATTTCCTTCAACACACCGAGCTTTTAACCGAATCGGAGTCATTTAAGACGATTTGAAACTGCGGTTTAACTTACTCCCCTCCACGGCAGGTCAACCGCAAAGACGCAGGTGATCTTTGAGCCTCGATGGGAATTTTTAAAGCAAATCTGGCACATGCAATCTACAAGTCGAGCAACGCGTCTCGTTGTGAACCTTTACAGACGCCAATGTGTCAAACTTGTCAACAAATCTAATTACTACTGCTAACGACAGCTTTGAAATTTAGATAGGAAAAAGTCGACACGGTGATAGAACTTCACAACCAAACAGAATGCGACAAAAACTCGATAAATCATTTAGCCGATTTCTTTCCAGTAGCTAGCCCTATTGTGTCGTTTAAGAACGCAGACTGCACAACCATCCGCCGTTCGTATTTTGAAATTCGAGCACCTATGCCAACATTCGTTTACGAGATTTGAGACAGTCTAAGGGAGCTACATGAAGGACCTTCTCAATTTTAGACCAGAAACTTCCATTCAGTCATGAGATTGAGCCATGAAAGCACACTCAAATGGCTCGCCACTGGAACGATCAGACCCACAGTATTGAAGCAATTAAATGGCACAGGTGAGTGGGGGTGCGCACAACATCTGTGTCGCCGTGTGATTGGACGCCTCCAAGGACACATGACTCATAGTGGCGTGTTTATGGTGCGACGCGCGAGGCTGGTCGGGGTGCGCTAGCGAAAGGACGCGTTCATCGTGGATTCCAGTTGAGATTAGCAGTTCAAATAAAATGACAGTTTTGCCAAAAGATCAAGCTGAACGGGGATTGCACGATTTGGTGAACTGTTGACGAGCACTAACCACAAAGACGTACGAAATATGGAGATATCATAAGCCATCTGACATTTTTAAAAAAAAGGGCCTAAGGAGAACTCGAGTATTCCTTTGAAAAATAAACTAATAGCTGACAACGCATTGAGAATCGATAGAATGTCATTTTCTAGCAATACGAAACACGGCGCGTAACATATTTTAGTGCAATTTGAAAAAAAATCACACTTTCCTTCAGAAAAAGCTCAATTTAGCATCAAGATTTATGCAGGTGTAGAGAGAGGGGTGGTTTAAAAATAAACGGAACTCACATAGGAAGAAAGAGCGAGCACAGAAAAGGACAACCCCGCAGGCCCGCGTGCCACGTGCAAACTGATCGCCCGGCGAGCGTCTAGCAAACTAATTGGTAGCTTGAGGGCACTGGCCAATTAGCGTAGAGAGCCAATGAGCACGCTAATCACCAGTTGACCTAGTGCCTGCCAATTAAACACGCCCCTTTCAACCAATCAGCTGACTAGAAATCACGACTGAGCTGTTTGCACGTGGTGTCGCGTTGGAATCATCTCTGTTTGTGAAATTTCACGGTTTGGCTCCGCCGTGTTTCTATCTTCCATAATTGTATCTTCAAATTACATTATGTAATGTAAACACCTTGAAAATTACTGCTCTGTGATTGGGCGACGAAGCTGCGCGTAACATTGTGATGCAAAAGATGCGTTTTTCGTGCATCTGCGGTTCTCTTATATTGATAATTTTTAAAATAATTTTTTATTAGAAGTGTACATAAAAAGCAGTTAGAAGCGGTAATGACTTTTAGCATAACACACTATTTTCAGTTCAAAAAGATTTGGAAATAAACCGTCAGATTCCAAATTGTGTGTTTTTTATTTTCCAAATTTGGCCCCAAGTCGAGGTGGGAATCGCGTCTGATGCCCCGCAAGCTCTACTACGACTATTCATAATAAGGAAAATATATTTTTTTGTTAACGTTGTTTGAGCGCCTATTGTGTGCGAACTGATAAAGGAAGATTGAAAGGAGGGAGTGTTGTGGTGTTTCGTTAGTCACAAAACAGTTTTGTTGCCAAAGTTCAGACAATTCACACATTTCTGACGTCTGAGTTCTGGTTCATCCCGGGATTTTAATGTATTCAAAACTTCTTTGTTGCGACTTTAAAAAAATAATAACTTCTCAAGCAAATTAAAGTACAATTGGGTGAGTTGTCGGGACGTCCGAATTTACACACAAGACTAACTCCTAATGACTGACAATTGTGGGGAAATGACAATGGCGATTTCCTCTCTTGACTCCTCAAAACCGATACTTCACATTTATTGGCAAATTTCAGCAAAGAATTGAATTTAGACAAAAACAGCCTTTGGAAAAGTTCCTCTTTACCATAAATAATAATTCGGATGATTAACTGACGCAGTCCATTGCCTTCTGTTCACGATAACTGGTGTTTAAGCAGACGTTAGCGTCATTTGAATTATTTAAATTATTGCGTGTGACATTGAAAGGGATTGAAAATAGAGCATGATCAACACAGCCTTCGAAGCCGTCTATTTTAGCTACGACGCCTGTGTTTCGCGTCAAACGTGACGAGTTTTCTTAGTGTAGGAGATTATATGAACGTGCTTTTGTTTCTGTTACAAAAAAATTCTTCCGTGGTGGCAAGAAGATCAAAAACAACTTTAGATAATGAAATGAGATTATCCAGATTTTGCTAAATTCATTTTCTGCACTTGATACTCATCTCTTGATTCTGTGGCAGTAGTAAACGAAATTTTACTCCCATGGTTGCATAGATATCGGGATAGATGACGTCAGATGAAACAAAGTCTGATTGTAGCTTTTGTCAGACTGGTAAATTTGTAGGAAAATTCTGGAAGTTAAGCGTTTGCATTGTATTGGAACTACACTGGAGAAATTTAATTTATGTTCAAACTCGGATTGAGATGCTAGGGGGTGTCTTATATGGACATTGAAAAGAAGCTTCACGTCGACCGCCCACAATGTCATCCAAACGTCCAAATAATTTGGGATCTTCAGAGGTGTTATTTGGCCTTTTGCGGAAACAAAAAGGGCCTCCTTTTGCTAATTTAGGGTAGCTGATGTAGCCCGGTGTTTGCGCTAACCATGTCGTATTTCCTGTGTATTTTATCATTGAAAATGAGCGCGTAGTTGGTCGGCCACATAGGACTGACTTTCAGGGGTCCCATTTTAACTAGACGCGTGCCACACTCTAGCAGTGTGACACTTGGAGTCACTTTTAACATGTATCGGCCTTATTGCCAAACGTAACCCCGATTCGAATAGCAACAATAATTAGACAAAATCGCAGAGACTTGAAAGGCGATGTAATAATCATCCATTTTCAATAAACGCTGGCTGTACTCCTGAAACGTGAATGCCGTGGAACTGTAAAACTTACCTAACTACCAAGTTCTCTTGATTTGAGAGGGGAAGCATTTTCGAGAACGACAGGGTAAATTTTCTCCTGCCTAAGCAGGGATTAGAGGAGGTACTCAGCCCGATTCAGTTGGCCATTCGTCAGAATATATTGCTGAATGTACTTCAACATCACTACACATTGTTTGCGTTACTACCATCGATGCCCTGCCACAATACAAACATCCATGCGCCACCAAGAATTCCGTATTGGAGCACCTTGCTTCTCTTCAATGACGGTGAAATCGGGAAACAAGCATCACGCAGCTGCCTCTTCCCCACACATCAGCATATGACTTCGGTAACAAATCCTTGAGGCTATGCTTAAGTAGGAATAGCCTCAAAGATTTGTTACAGTTAATGACGTTCAGTCTGCCGACATAAAACGATATCAACCATAGACTCAAGCGCTGACACGGTTAATATGCTGACAGTCGGTTTGATGGCATGCATAACGTAACGTCACAATAAAGCGTGAATTTCAAGTCCTCGAGGCTGCAGCTTTTTGCATCCAGCCTTTTCTCGGAGTTCACGCAGTCAGAAACATCTGCTAGCTTTTTTTGATAAATAAAGCCTCACCAATTTTAGGATAATTAGCAAAAATGGGTCTCCTTTTTGCACCTTTTCCTACCCTTCGTTCTGCTTCGCCTCTGCTAAGGGTAATACGGCATCACTACGGGTAAGCGCTGGCATTTGAAGCTAGCAATCCAGAGTCCTTGCAAATTGCCCCTCATCATGACGATGGATTCTTGTCCGAATCGAAATGCAATTTTTTTAACAAGCTTGTAAACTGCACACCTTTTTAGACTCCCTTGTCCAAAATGACGCCGGTCAGATTGAAGTTAAAACGGTTTGGAGGTTATCAGAATCGATATCGGCTTGGCAATCGTATTCTGAACGGAAGAAATCGGAAGTTGGGCCCAGCATGCGCGACAGTCCAGTAAAACAACATATTGACCAATACGCGTCAAGAAGTGAGCAGGACCATCAAACTTGTTGAATGATATGAAAAGATTCTTCATTCACATTCGAAAGTGAAGCGGAATAAGTTTAGTTAAAAATGGAAATTTCCACAAGCCTTACATTCACTGGAAATGAACCAGCGTCCACTACAGATTAATTAAAACGCAGTCAATGCGTTACATTTGGCAAACAATGATCAATTAAACAATTAACAACTTAGCGTCACATAATTTACAATTCGGAAGTTGGAATCGTATGACATCGCTCGTGTTTGAACGATTGTACAGATTGCTGTTTACTCTTGGACGTTTCAATAATTTACATTGACTGCCTTTCACATTCTTCCAAACCGGTGGTGTACTGAATTTTTCAAGATTAAAACAAACCCCCCTGCCCCCAATAATGCACTCATTTATCGTGCATTAATTGTCGGCAGA